GGAAGTCTCCCATCTGAATATTGCCCATGATGCAATGACTCACTCTAATTGCCAAGATCTAGGTCTCGAGTTTGATTTGTGCCACTGAAACTGTCAGAAAAGGTTTCCCAGTTGAGCAGTAAACCTTTCCAAGTGTCTTTTAGCCATTGCAGAGACAGCATCAGAACATCAGTGACCACGCTAGCATCTTAATAGGAGCTGAAAGAACAGGTCTTGGAACCTTCGGTCCTTACAGCTCACATTAAATTAGTAATATACATTAAATGATTATCTTAGGTGGCATTATTTAAACATAACCTCACAGGACATTTGCCTCGAGCAAACTGCAAGAGAAAAGCTGAGCAATTATGCACCTCACATATGCATGAGCGTACAACAAGTTTGCACATGTAAGTGTGCTTGGGCAGCTTCACAGACTTCAGCATTTTCAGAGCATATGGACACAGGGCAGCAACCCAAACCCATTAAGAATGCACTAAGCCAGCCCTTTTAAACTGAACCAGTCATTTTTCAACAGAACTAAAGTTCAGTTTATCAGTGGGTATAATGCACACATCTAATCAGAAGAAAAATACCTGGTGGTGCTCCCACCATAGGCACAGCACAGCATTTTGATGCCAACTGCAATGATCATAAAGCATGCAGACTGCCCTGAAACCATCCTAGATTTTTTGTTTCCTTATAACTGACTCCACACATTTCAGCCTGTCAGAACAGTTGCACGCTGCATTATATTGATGCAAGAGCAGAATAATAACAAAGAGAATATTTCAGCAATGCATTCAAGCTGTTCCAACCAAGAGGTAAATACGCTGCTCAACCCAGTAAGACATCAAGACCACAGCACACAGTCATTAAAACTAAATACTGAGCAATTTCAATAGAAGCATGCATGCTTCAGCATTCATATTATTCTTGGGATCTCCTAATCTTGACTCTGTAGAACTATATGTTCAATTTGGAATTGGTAAAAAATGGATTTATATCCTTATGGCTTTGTAAATGTTTCCTGCAACACTGGATACCTAATGAAATTATTCTGTCATTCTAGACACCACATTTAGAAGATTTGACTGCTGAAAAGGAAAACACAACTCAAGTGCAACAATTGTAAACACGAGAAGGAAGAAACACATCATGGCAAACCAAAACACACGCAACCTACAAACAACAGCCTTCATCTTATGATATGAAATCACTTCTAAGCATCTCAGAAAGACCATTTTCAGATGGTTAGCAAAGTAACAGCTTGTCGACTCTCAGAGAAAAGAGCAGATTCTGGTGGGTGCTCAAATCCAGCCATTCAATACCAACAGAACACAACTCCAGTTTATTGCTTCCCATTGGTTATTCTTGAATAAATAGGCTTTTAACATACCACATATTGCAAGTGAACTCTGTATTAGCAAGAGCTAAACCAAAAGCCCCAGGGACAGAGGGCTTCTGCCTGGCCCCTCGCTTGCAGCAAGCTGGCTGCCATTCAAAACCACATTACCCCCATCTCATCTTCACTTCGCAAGACTTTTTAACCCTGACCTAGAAGAAAACAAATGTTTTTAGAGAGCAAACCCACAAATCTCCACCGGTGATTTTAATTCCAAACTTTTTGCCCCTGCTGTGGCAGGTCACTGTAGCAGCATGGGGATTAGGACACCTATTAAGCAGTTGGGTGACGTTTTCAGATTTGTTTCCTGCAGTCTTGCAAACAGCTGCTGCACATCTTTGTCCACTTATAAATTGAGTTAGGTGATCAGCAGCAGCCAACAGATCGGTTTTACACATGTCATGGTTACAAGTAATGAGATTAATAAATGAGAGAGAGATTTCTACAAATAAGACATTTCCTTGCCTTCTCTGGTTTGGAGCAAATCTTCCTGTTTCCTTTTGGAGCCCAAAGACCTTACCCCATTGCTGACTGCTTTTAGGGGATTCAGTCTCACTCAATCCTCCTCTAAAGTCTTTTTTTCTTACGCTGTATTTATTTGACACTAACTTCACATGCCCAAACTACATCCCTACTCCAGAAGAGATTCATTTACTCTAAAACCATAACTAAAAAACAAAACAAAAAACCTCACAAATCCAATTAAAAATGAGTATCTTACTACTTAGATACTTACTCACTTGCTGCAGCCTCAGACTTTGCTGCTCTGCTGTCGTTGCTGTGCTTTCCATTGCATTGTACAGAGCTTTCTGGGAAAATGGAATAATATCCAGCATTAGCTATTTATTTTTTAATTTAGTTACATATATGTGGTATGCTGTTCTATTTCATTGTAAGGGTGTATTCTTACAGGATGAATGCTTGGATACTAAGCTGTGTGGCCTGAGCTGCTTTAAGACTAAGTAGAGCTTTAAGAAGCTTTTTAGTTGTTTGTTTCCCTACTGAAGATGCACTTACTGACAGCGAGTGCTAAGGCTTGTTGAAGTGAGACTTTTGACTAATATTAAATGACTAATGGTGCTTTTATGATCAATTATTGAAGCCTGCATGAGAGAGGAGAGACTTCCAAACAACTGGTTTGTAAGTAAAAGTTTAAGCACTGATGTGGTGCAAAGTAAACTCTCCAACAGCAGGCTTGTGAAAGCTGTATGGAGGGTTTTATTTTCTGCCCTCTTTGTCTGCTTTGAGCTTTCCCATAAAGAGGCTGACTTATTTTCATGGCTTGCTTTGTCAAAGTATGTTTTGCCAAAGGCTGAACCTAGCAGAGCTTTGCTCAGCAGTTTCACCATGTTCTTTTGATTGTCCTTATAGATGGCACCTGCCTTTCTACTGGCTGCATCAAAAAGCTGCTTCACTAACTTCATCTGAATGGAGTAACTTTGTACTCAGAGTCTTGGAGGGCAGACAAAAAGAATAGATAGAAGAGGGCTGGGTTTGCAATTGCTGTGTACTAACACTCCTGGAAGAAAACATTAAAAAGAATGGTGATGATATAGAGCTGCATTGTTTGCTTTTTCTTTTCCTGAATGTGCAAGGAAGATGTATGTTTAGGTTTAGAGAGGATCTGTCTACAGGTTTCTGCTAGCTAAGGTGTAGGAATGAGCTAAGAAGGGCTGAGCAGGTTCTTGGGATGTATGGGTTTAGGAGTGTATTTTTCTTGATGAGACTTAAAGCAATGTGGAGGAGGCTGATGTTGATGTGATACTGGGGAAGAACAGGAGAAGCTGATGTGTGGCCCATGAGGGTTTCTACAGGTGTTCAGCTATTTTAATCCAAACCTTAATTTTTCTTAGCATTTATGACAGCAGTAGTTCATCTACTCTGCTCTTCCCCTGCTGAGAAATGTATGACATACCTTTTCCATGCTGTGCTGGTGTTGTATGAGAGGAGGAGAAATAATTTATGAGCCTGCTGGAAGAATGAGCCCCTTCTGGGGATTAAAAACAAAAATAGTGTACTGTTGATAAGACCTACATAAGCCCCAAATAGTCAGCAGAGGTCTTGAGAGAGGATGTGCTCGTGTGAGTGGCACGTCTGTCCTAGCATATGCCTTCCCCAGCCCTTACTGGGTGACACTGGAGGAACATACCTTTGCCATAACAGGTACAAAAACCAGAGGGAGAATCCCCACTGAACCCCAACGTGTGGTTTCCTCTCGAGGAGCTTACTAGAAGGACTGCAGCAGGCTGAGGAATGGCTTGTTTGAGATGATGGAGGAGACTTTACATGCGTGGGCTCTTCTGATTCTTGGGATCCTCCCCTATTCTGCAGTCACCTCCCAGCTATCCCAGCTCTGTGCTTCTGTGGAGGATGGGCAGCTAGCACTGGGTGACACCACATCTCTCTCTTTGTTTCTGATGCATTTATTCTGTGAAAGCAAAGCAGCATGCTGGGTATTTACAGCATTGCTTGGGACATCTTCTGTCAGACTTGTAATGCAGTGAGACAGGCGCAGTGCTGCTTCCCTTCTGGAGGGGGTGGGAAAGGATTCAGTGCACTTTTCTCCATTGATTTATGTCCTACACTGAAAATTGATGATATTTCCTCAGATCCACTCAACCATTTGAAAGCAAGCAGCCTGTTTGATCAAGTGTGGGGGGAGAAGTTAGGAGGGTATCCAGCTCCCAGCTGTAGTGTGTGATGCTCTGTAGGAATATTCCATTCACCTGTGCTGTCAGGCTGTATTAGCCAATTCCATCAATTACTCAATGTCCATCAATTTTCTCACTGTTACAGAGAACAGATGTTTTGGAGAGGAGTCATGGTTTTATTTCTACCTGTGAAGCAAGGAGAGGTAAAGGAAGCTGCTTAAAACACGATATAGGAAGAAAATTGCCATCCTGTTACTTCTCTCAAATGGATCTACCTGTATCTCAAGTCCAACTTTGTCTGGGGTAGCAATGTGTCCATCTTCCAGTAAACGCTTGCAAAGCTCACACATTAATAAGGAGTTAGGGTAATTAAGTCCTATAGAGCTTCTTATAGCCCTGGTGCCTGGATAGCTGTGGTAACAGATTGGCACGGAGCAGCCATCTGAACACTCAATCAGCTTCTTGGTTGCTTTCACAGCTCCTGTGGTCTTCCAAGTGGCCAACATTACCCTTCTGCTCCTCTCTGTGTGGGAAAGCTGCAAGGTCTTGGTTTATTTGTGCTGGAGTTGTACCCTGGGGTAGGCAGGTAAAGGTGTGAGCGTGCCCTGTGCGTGTGAAATACAACAGATCAGAGCAGGTGTGTGTGTAAAACAACACCGTTCCCATGGCCTTGCTGGAAGCAGTGAGATTTAAAAGCATTTTAGAGAAGCATTAAAAAGTTCAGTTCTGTTTGTTTCGGTTCAAAGGTGGACGGGACTGTGTGTGAGCTCTGCTCCCTATTAGATTGGATTCCTCTTACGGAAACTGTTTTGTCTTCACAGCAGAAAAGCTGGTAAAGCTGAGCTGGTATTTCTTAAACATGCACGGTTTGATCAAATCTTGGGGTTTTTCTTTCCTAGTGAGTCAGACCTACTCAAAAAGGAAAAAAAAAAAAACAAACTAGATAAGAAGCAAGCCTTTAGTAAGTCCAAAAGCTTTAATTCTGGAGCTTATCCCACTGCATAGACATTGCATATGTTGAATGTGTACACATGAATGTGTTTGTAGTTCTGAAGTGCTTTTCCTGAGGGATGAATCTGGTTCTTTTTCCATGCTGGGTTTCACCGCCTCCAAACTTCACCACTCCAACACTCGTAAAATCCTTGCATCTCCTCCCGAGGTAAATCTCTATATGTTACAGCTAGAAGTTAGCTCTACCTCACCCACATGACTGGTCTTCACTATTAATCCCAGCTGATGGCAGGGAGGGGCTCTTCTGGGAGGCAGCCATGTGGTGAACATTGAGCGCAGTGTTTTTCCCCCTGCTTCTCTCCTTTCCTTTTCAGACGTGCAAAATCACTCCGTGCTGCTGTCGATGTGAACTCCTTGCTGCTCCGTCTCCTCTCTTCCAGAAACTCCAGGCCCTGAATTAGCAGCTACGGATCTGTGAGCTGTATCTGGACAGAATACGGACAAGGAGATGAATATCAGAAAGGAAGAAGGAGTGAAGTTGGTTATTTCTCTGGCACATGGATGCAATTACTCTCGGCGCATTCCAGAGGCGTTCTTTTGAATCCTGTGCAGGTCTGCCTGCCGTTCCTGGGAGAGAGAAGGCAGAAGGGAGGAAAAGTCCCTTTCTCACACGGAGACGGAATGTCTGCACTTTCCATCCTCTTTTTAGGTAGGTTGGCTTTTTGGTGTTTGACCGAACTTCCATTTGCTCCTCTCTGTGCGACTGAGGTTCGTTTCTGATGAGCCATTCGGATCTGCAAAGGAAAAAAAACTTTTATGGCAAACTCCGTTTTCTGTGTTTGGGTTCAGTGCTTTTTGTGTTGCTTTAGTTATTAACAGGTTGATGGCCGGGAACCTTTTAATATCCAAATTTGTTGTTATTTTTGTTTGCTTAGGAGTAATGGTCATACAGACCCCTCTTGGAATGTGTTTTTAGTTTAAAAAAGGCAGCGTTTTTGAACAGTGTACTATAAAGGGGTTTGAACCTCTTTGATAAAATAAGGTGAACAAAATGTCTTTGTTCCAGGCATAGTGTCAGATTTGTGTAACTGTTTTGCTTTGCTCAAATATTTAACGTTCAGGTTTTTAGAATAAAAAAGGGTTATTGTTTCCAATTGATGCCTCTGATTAAAAACAGATGTGTTGAAGTGCAAGAGGGAGGAGTTAAAGGGGGAAAGAATGGGAGAAGGAGGGGGAACAAAAGGGAGACAGTAAGAAAAAGGAGGGAAAAAGGCTGCTGAAATAAAGGGGGGGAAAGGTATAAGTTAATGGTTGAATAGGAGCAGAGAACGGGAGAGGAGACTAAAGAAAGAGAATGGAAGCTGAAGGGCTGAACAGAGCTGTTTGGTAAAGCCTATGGAGAAAGGGTTTGCAGTCCTGAGGTCTGTTGGGGAGCTTGCATATGGGACTGACTCAGAAGCAGTCTGGGTATCTGCATCTCCAGAGGCACTGGGATGTGATGAGTGAGCTTCTGTCTTCATTCTGCTCACCACGTAGTGCTGACAAGCAGACAGCTCTGAAATCTGTTGTGCTTGAGCAAATCTGTGATTCCTGGGTCCTCCTGCCCCCCAGAACCCCGGGTACTGGTGTGAATGGGGCACAGGTCTTTGATTCCCATGGAAGAGCCAAGTCCCACAGGGTGATGGGCTGATGTGGGTGGACACAGAATAAAGGCTTCAGACAGGATGATAGGAAGAAATGCTATGGGGAACAGCCTTCATTCAGTCTCACAGGTGTGAAACATGGACCAGCCAGAGTTCTAAATGTCCAGAAGGCAGGTAGGTGGGTTCTCATAGAGGCCACGTGTTGAAGGCTTGGAGCAGAAGGGATAAGCTGCTGCCATAGGATGGGTGTTGTAGTGATACAGTTACTCTCTTTTGTATGACCACTGCTGGTTTTATTGGGGGGGACACAATGGCCTTTAACCATTCTTCCTTCTTTGGGATTTCTGTAATGCTTACAAGGCATTAGCCCAGCAGAGAAGACAAGCCTTGAAGAGCTTTTGCATTTAATCAACATCTGAGTTTCTCAGTTTCTCTAGTGGTTGTTCCAGCTGTGGCAAGGGGAGGACGAGCAGCTCCCAAAGCTCACAGCCAAACCAGGAATGCCTGGTTTCCTGGTGCTTTGTTAGTGTTGAACTGCCCTGTGATTTACCCTTGTTGTATTTGTGTTGTCGATGGGCAATTTGGTCATCCAGCTTTGAATCCAGCTTCATTTACTGATATTGGAAGCATTTTTTAGGGAACATGAAATATTGCTGACTGTGTTCCAGTCTTGTGGCTGGGAGAAAGCAAGGAGATAGGGGACATCCTTTGCTAGCCTGAGAAAGTAGTGGAAAGGTGTATAAGTATCAGTGAGTGCGTGCTTTTGCTCACTGCTGAAGTGAAGGATTGTGGAGAATAGGAGTTTGAAGCCAAGGAAGCCTTAAAGGAAAGTTGTTGGCTCAGAACATTCATATTGACAGTATATATATGGTCCTTGTCTTTGGTGCTGTTTACCTACAGGGTAAGTAGACAGCTGTGCGAGGAGACAGGGAAAAGGAGACAGAGCTTTAAAAACATGACAAGAATGAAGATTTTACTAAATGTGGGCTGAGCAAGACTGTAATCATAGTTCTGTAATGGGGGCAAGGTGGAGGAAGCAGAGAGGAGCCATAAATGTCCTTTGCCTTTTCCCATCACCCTGTCCAAGTCAATTTTGAGTATTTTTAACAAACCTTCTGCTAAAGATGTATTTGACTACAAGAAAATAAATTTAGTTGTGTGATATCTGTACACCTACTTTTGACTCTGGTATTACATGTATCACTTGTTGGCTAGTGTATGTGCTTTGCCTTTCAGAAAGCAAGGGGTTCAAGATCCAAAGGAGGAGATGTGCCAAACCAATGCAGCCATTCAGCTTTCACATGTCCTGCTACTGAGATGGGATCTTTGCATTAGAACATTAGGGGTTGCCCTCCACAATGCCCTAATTGCTCCCTTTTGCTTTATGAGGAATAGGCAGCTGCTTGTCCATAGGAGTTCTCCTGCAGGAAAGAATGGCCAAGAGTCTTTTGTATCTTAGCTTCAGCCTCAGTATCTGCAAAGGGGCTGTCTTCATGGCTTCTCTAATGTTGGCTAGCCATTAGGATGTAAGGAAGCCAACCCTCTATGATACAGCACAGATAGATGCCTTGGGAGCCAAGGCTTTGCTCCCTCTCTATGTGGTGTCTTTGGGAAAAGATGAGTAGGATTTAGTGATTGATGGGACAGGGAATTGTATGTACCATGCTGAGGCTGATGGATGCGGGTGCAGCTGGTAGCTCTGATTTGTGCACTCAGTCTGGCTTATGATATGGTGTGCTCAATGGGTGGGAACTGGTGTATTACACAGGAGTGATTCTGCTGAAGTGGATGCAGCCGTAATGGCAGAACTACCTTCTATGCAGATGTAGCAGAGCTCTGTTCTCCCAGCTCTAAGGTCAGTGACTCCCTTACAGGGCTCTCCCAGAGGTGCACAGCTGCTGCACTGAACACCAAGACTCGATCGTCTCACTGTGCTGGGAAAGGTTATGGTGCAAATCCCTGTAGTGCTTGTTGGCATGAGCAATTGGGTCTGACAGCATGCATTTGCCTAGGTATCCACCAGACTTGTAGCCTGAAAATCCTTGCTGAAATGGGAGCTGCTCTGCAGCATTTGGCAGTGGCAGGTCAGCCTGGGGCTGTGCTTTTCTACATTGACTCTCAGACTTCTGAGGCTTGCTTCCCCTCCTGCTTTAAGAGCACAGGCATCCTGAACGGTGCCCTGTCATGCTTCCTTAAAGCCCTTCTCCTTAAAACTGCAATATGTTCCAGGAAAGCCAAGAACAACTGCATTGTTTAAAAAAAAAACCAAACCAAAAAACAGCAGTCCTGCTTCCAGCGGGGTTACTGAACTTTTTAATAGACTGCTTCTGCCTGAACTAGTAAAAAGCAAGGGAGATGTTTTAAGCAAATGGAATATTAAATTGATGGATCTTATTTCTGCTCTGGGTACTTCCCAAATTTCAGAGGTTATGGATGTGGGATACATTTGCAACCTCCTGGTTTTCTCGTGGCTCCTTCTGTTGGCTTTATCTGTTTGTTTCATGGGGGTATTCAGGTGGGGCAAGGATTTGCCCCATGCTTTAACAGCACTTAATTCCAAGCTTGGGATTGGAATAGGAAAATATAAATCTGTGGTTGTGAATAAGGCTTCTGTACGGGATTCTGCCATTGGGTTTAATCTTTTCCTTCATTATGTTATGAAGGAATGCAGGCAGTCACTCTTGGTGCATCAAGCCTAAGAGGAGGCTGTTCTTCCAAAGTCCTCTTCATAAGAGCTGATAATTGCAAGCACTCATTTTCTTCAGCAGTCAACGAAACAGCAACTGGATGCAAGAACTGTTGGGAGGTGTGAATTTAGCTGTAGGACAGGGCCAAGAGCTCCTTTCTTTAACAAACCCCATGGAAAGGGAGCAAAGAGAAGATGTGTGTCCGTTTGCTGCTCCAGGGGCAATTCAAGGAGGCAAGACACAATTGAGTGAGCTGCTATCTGGTGGGATATCAGAGTTAACACTTCTTGTTGTGAGATGCAAATTCTTTTAAAGCCAGGGTGGGTTTGCATCACGTTTCCTATCAGAGCACTCAATAAAAATGTCCTCTCTTTCTCCAGCAGTGCTTTGTTTTACGTGAAAGTGTTTGGATTTCTAGCATTGAGAAAACCTGAGCTTTACTTTGAGGCCTGGTTTTATCCCTATTTTTCTGTTTTTACCATAAAAAGAAAAAAGGTAAACCTCTGAGTGGGTGAAAGCAGCATGCCAAGTTAGGGTTGAAATACTGAAGCCTGATCTCTTAATCATGAGAAATAGTGTGCTGAGGGGAGGCAAGCTTTCTGAATTTCCCATGTGAAACAATTGGTGTTTGGCCACTGTGCCCACAGCAGGCCCTGTTTATACAGAATTAGTGGTCTGTTTCTGTGGGGCACTCGGGGCCACTTCAGAGGGATGCTGTGTGTAACAGCAGAGCAGGCTTCCCAGCAATGCCTGTCATTGCACAACTGGCTTGGAGACAGACCCTGATGTTTATCCTCTGGATCACAACAGATGCCCCTGTCTTCCTCAAGGCAAACACAGGACTTTATAGGGAACTTAACAGGTTTGCAGCCTGGGATTTGTTTGAGTTCTTAGGAACTGCCTGAAAAGAAATGTAAACAGTCACTCCAACAAAGCAAAGTGCATATTTGCAAAACCCTGCTTTGTGTGGAAACAGATTGTTATGTGATGCAGAATGTGTGTGTTTAGTAGCAATGAAGAGTGGTGTTACAAACTGCTTTCTGTGCCTCTTCGCTGCAGAAATTGCTCCCAAAGCTTTAGTCCAAAGCTTTAGTCCAACGATGCTTCTGGTTTCCAGCTAAAGCACCTCCCCTCTGTTAGCCAAGGCTTGTGTGTATTGCACAGTGCACGTGTGAGTGAGTTCTGTATGTGTGCAAAGAAAGCTTGGCTCCTGGGGATGTAATGTTGTGCACACTGCTTGCACTAGTGTGACACAAAACAGAGGCTGCTTTGGGTGCAGTGGGAACTTGGCGGTGCCTTGTCTGAAAGATGAATGGGTCTCCTTTTTTCCTCAAGCTGTTTCTTCATCTGTTTTTAGAAATGGTTATTTTACAGAAGCA